ATGAATGAACCCTCTGGCTAAGATGGGGTATTTCTTGGAGACCTTTAAGTTGCAGACCAATGTTCCTTTAAAGAAGGTGAGAACAGGATGACTTTGGCATAGCCACAATGACAAAGACCATGTGAAATCAGACTGTGTGATCCATGTGTGTGTGTCTGCAAAAAAGGGTTGCCAGGGCACTTAAGAATTACTACTGGAACGTGACCAGCAAAAGACCCATCACCGTAACAAGGAATTGGTGTCTGCTGCTAACTTCCACTTAAATTGGGCTTTTGTTGCAAGCAGCATCAATGCTGGTTCCAAAATCATTACTAAAACATCAAGTAAAAGGAATAAGTGTTCATAATCACTGTCACTACAGTATTACCACCACTCTTCCAAGCAGCACAAAGAATTGTAATTCAAAGACAAGTTTATCCAGTGAGTATCAACGTCTTGTAGAAAAACATGTTTATCTTGCAAGAGATGAACTCCTGGAGCTTTAAAGGCCAGCTGCATCATTCTACCGGAGAAGAGGCAGGGACAGAGGCCAGTATTGATAGTACCAATCCAGCAATCTGTTTGCTGGATTTACCAGCTTTTAGTACAGATCTGAAATAGTACTTTCCATATTCCATTCCACACATAGACACACACTTGCTGAGCTTGGTAGAATAGAAAGGTCTTTGCTTGTCAATAACCATAGGATTCACCAGTATGAATGCCCAGGCAGATTTGACTGAAAAAAAAAGATATATTTTTAAACCTTTGACTGAAAAAAAAAAAAAAGATATTTTTTTCAAGCCTTTGACAAGCATCCAAGGAAATCTGCCGAGCTGACTCAATGAATGTCAGCACTAGAGAGTATTTTTGAAATTGGCACTAATGGCAAAAAAAAAAAAAAAAAAAAAAAAAAGGCAAACCACCAGAGAGAAGAAAATAACTTCTGTATTAGAGCCAAAGGTACTGAGGCCCGAAGAGATGGTGTAAGTTTGTTCTTTGATGTTACTTACATTTTAAGCTGTGACAGAGGCTATGTCAGGAATTCATTACTTAATATAAAGCCAAGGAGATTCCTCAGTCCCCAGCCAGTAGTGTCTGGTAGTGCCAGACATGAAGAGAAAAAGATACCCCTTTGGGTATTTAGTGAGAGGACCCAAGCCAGTCTTGGTATTTTCAACTGTAAGAATCTAGCTCCAATTATGAAGCATAAAGCTGTAAGCGTTCAGAAGCAACATGATCCTGAAGCTTTAATTAAAAACCTCACTTCCATCAGCAAAGTAAAGAACCAGCAAGCTGTGTACTTGACTATCCTAGTGATTTTTCTTCTGAAAGAAGGCAACAGAGTGTCAGACTAGTATAATCACCGGTTAGGAAATGGGTCTCAAAGCTCTTATGAAACTCTAGGCTCACATCGAAGGTGTTCTCTAATACTATTAGCATGATAAATTATCATTACTTAGATTCCACCTAAACCCAAAAGTGAGTTCTGCTTTCTCTTCGGCACAGACGTAGGAAGGAGTTTCAAGGGAACACAGGATGCATGCTTTGCTTGAGTACAGGCAATGACATCAACTTTTACATGATACTACTTGCATACTGTAGTGAGCGGTGCACTTCATCATTACATTTGCAATGCTTCCATAGCCAAGGAAATGTTTTCCTAAAGCATAAGACAACAGCAGAAAGTTTCAACTTTAGGAGTTCTGTCCAGCAGCTGAAATAGAGCTGTTTATCATACTGCTACTTCTCTTCATCCTCTTTTGGGATCACTGGTGCTGAGCTGGAAGTAAAGCCAGGTTCTTTTTCCCACCAATAGGAATACAGTCAGGTTGCTGGCAACATGATACAGAAGTGGCTGTACAGAGTAAAGCATGCCAAGCAGGCTTTTACAACACTTCCCCCCTTATCTTCAGCATGGCTCATAAGGTAACCAGCAGTTACTATGATATCCTTGCATACTATGACCTCCACACCCCCAGCTTAATGCAGGCAGATCACATCTCCTGCAAATTATTAAGTGCTAAAGCTGGAGGCAATGCTGGCCAGAGGCAGCACCATATAACTACACTAACCCTGTTCCTGTAACTACCAAAATTGTAATCCTCATTATTCTGGAAAAGATTGCTCTCTAGTAGCAGGCATCATTTTTGATCCATTGTGTACCAGTAAAAAACAGATGCCAGCTAAGCAGCTTGCTAATCTATTTTTATACATATAGGTCAATTGTCCCATGAACTGACATATATAGAGAAGAGGAGAATACAATTAAAAACCATTTTTGTGCTATTCCAAATTCAGCTCTTGGTGTCTTTCTGTTTTAATTGTGGTTATTGTATTGCTTGCTTATATTGTGATTCAGGAACATAAAATAGGGAGAAGAGGTTATGCAGAACATGCCAGATTCCAGGATGAAAAAGTCCACCATGCTTTTTTGTGGTTTTCTAAGTTATATAATTATCATACTGTTATATATTCCTGGTCACAGACTGAACATCTAGTGCAGTACCATATATAGCGAACTGATGTAACCTGGCTATTCACTACGGGATGAATATTTAAAAAGAGCACCAAGAGCTGGTTCCAACACAAACAGTGGGAAAAGAAAGACTGGGCTGGTGCAATTGCTGACAAGTACTGGAACAAATTAGCTCATGCTCAGATTTCAGGAATGCAATTAATTAATCACTACTAAGTACCCTAAAATCAAGTGAGCCATATCCCAGCTAATAGTCCACAATATAATGTTCACAGCACGTAAGTATCAGGCAATGAAGATGCTCATTACAGTGCCAGAACTAGTGTTTCCAGCAAAATATTATATATAAAGATGAAGTAATTATATGGCATGGCAACAAAAAGAGCTGTAGAGTTTACAGCTGAGCTGAAAATCTGTAAGAATCTATTTCCAAAAAATACTTCCCAAATCTGGAAACATATGAATAATAAAGTATTAGGCATACTTCTTCATATCACTGAGGGATATACTTTGCCTTTGATATATATATATCTAATACACATACCGTAACCAAGAGAGCAAACAAAAATGTACTAATGGAAAACAACGTCCTTTTGTTCATATTCAGGAGAAAGCAGTTTGTAGAACACTCTTTGTAATACATAAAACAATCACAAAAGCCCTTTAAGATCACATTTTTACAAGCTGCCTGTTCTCTTAGCTTTATACAATCAAGAAATAAAAATCAGAAAACAGACTCACATTTAAGAGCATATTTGGAAGAGTACCCTAAAGAATGGAGTCCAAAGTCAAAGGCAAAGCCCACTGTGACCTCAGCAGAGGGCAAGAAATGGCCACTATGGCACAAAACGAATCAACACATTGGCATTCTCCTAGTGTGCATCAGTTTGCTCATATTTACACAATGCTACAGGCTTAAAGCGTCATTGAAAATCCATTTAAATTAACAACTCCACAGTTATCACTTCTGCAGACAGTAATGAACCTTAAGTGAACCTGTGTGGGTGTATTCAAAACTGCTTCATTTTTGGAGTACCTTTGTAACTCTGAACTAGGTATTAATGGCTATGGACTTGCTCAAACTTAGATTATTAGGCTAGATTTTCAGCTGGTTGAACTGGCATAGCTCCAATGATGTCCATTTACACCAAATGGCTCATTATTAATTCAAGGTCTTATTTGCTCCTTAATGAATAATTTCACTAGTCACCTTCCCAACGGCAGCTTTAAATTCTCAAACATTACCTCCATGGTCAGAATTATCATACTCAAGAACTTAGTTATCAAAAAATAATGTTTTTTCTCTCCTTCTATGAGACATACCTAAGGTATGCTTTTTTAATCATTTACAAAACAAACTAAAATACCTCCTGTGCCACAATTAACTAACTAGAATTATGCTTTCATACAGCATCATTTGCATATAAATATAAAAATTTTACAACCCTAAGGGGACATTAAGGATGAAACAAAACAAGAATGGAATTAAACAGCTAAATGGACAACACAGCCCTCCATAACAAGCCTCTTCTATAGCCTTGTCTTTTTTCGTACTTATTGTTATTTCTGTCTGTACCCATTCACACATATTTTTCACCTCTGTTATTTTAAGATACTACATACATTTTAACATCTTTGTTTGGTCTTTCAATTTTACAATGCTATCTCTGCACTTCTAAAACAAATGAGGATACAAACACATCACTAAGTTTGTGCATCTTCTTTTAATGCATCACAGTGATCAAAACCACAATTGACTGAAAACACGACTGTCTGTTCTCCCAGCCAACCAACACTCAGTATTTTTCACAAGGATTTCAAAAATTCAAATTGTATGATTTTTCAACAAAATGTCCCTCATTACCTCAGTGGAACAGTTAACTGTCAAACACACAAAGGAAAGCAGCCACTCTTTTTGATTTCTGTTGTTACTAGAATTAAGTAATTTAGTTTAAATGCCTAAAAAATATTCAGGAACTCAATGAAGTTGAATTATCTCAGTGAGAGCCTAAGAAACCTCTACGGTAGGCTCAGCAATTCTGCTGCAAAACGTGGGAGGTAAAAACTTTATTCTACGCTGCTTTTTTGTGAGAAATTATCCTTCAAAGGGGCTAGAGCAAAATCTATGTGCTCAGTGAAACCAACTGGTATTCCACAAGACTGGCAATCTGACTCTGAAATTTCTAGCAACTAGGTGTACTTGAGTAACACTGGAGTAACTCAAACTGAAAGTACTCTAGCATCTTTACGTTTCTGAGTACTGCTTAACATAAACTTTCAAATAACTATCTTGACCCAAATATATTTAATTTGGTTGAACCCAAAAACCACAGTTAAGATATAAGCATGGATATTATAAGAGCTATACAAAAAGTAGGAAATAGTTTTCACCATGGAAAGCATGAGGAACAAAGTTTTGTGATTAGGTAAATACTGATTTTCCTTAAGAGCTGAGCAGGCCACTTAAGATGCCTTGATACCACCAAGAAGATGCCCATCAAATGTACCTTGGTGTATCTTGATAAAAAAAGTTACTACATACCTGGAATAAATTCCACTGACCATGTTGTGCTGGAAAGAGAGGTCTGCTGTGCTGGGTCCAGCAGCTTTGGAAATAAGCAGTACAACCAAGCCTCGCATCTGTAAGTTATTTCGGCTATCATACACAAAACCCCTGCAAAAAGGACAGAAAAAAAATAATCACATTTTCACAATCCACTTTCACTGGTTATACCACAGTGGAAAGAAAGACTCAGACCTCAGTCTGCCATCATTTCATCAACTTTTTTAATATTCACATTTGCATGGAAATAAGCTGCAATTATGAATCATAAAAAAGGAACCATTTCAAATGCTGCACCTGTGAATTTGGGGTCAAGAGAAACTGCCACCAAATGTGTATCTGTTGAAAGCAATTCTAAATGACCACTTAGGTACACCACCTCAGAAATCAACTTGTTTCAAAACAAGCATAGTTTTTTTTCCTTTTTGACTGTAATGTCTCCAATTGCATTCTTCCTGTCCTTGTCAAACGCTTCGTAGTTCATATGTTCATCAGTAAGGCTAAATCACTAGTAGAGAAGATAATACATTCCATATGCTATTAAATTTGTAAACTAATTTCCAATAAATAAGAGCCCACATCTCTGATATAATCAAAATATTTGTTAAAATAAATCATATAAAGAACTTCATCCCAGATTACTAAGCACTTCAACTCATTTTATTCCAGCATATAATTTTGAAGGAAATCAAAACAGAACTGTCTTTCCAACATCTGAATGAAAATCTAAAATGTTGATCTTAGAAGTATGTTTGAATAAAGAAAACAGTGGACACAACTTAAAGTTTCATTTGGATTTTTTTACATTACATTTACACCACTTTACAAGGCAAGAATGTCTTCAGTATACTATTTCATTTACACAGACACATAGACATTAAAAAGTCATAATTTAAATAGCTCCCTTCCGTGTAGAAGTTCCTCTGCTACTGCAAATCAAATCTTGACTTCTTGAGTGTCTACAACCTGTTCTACAATGACCCAAACTACATGCTCTAGGAAGAGAATGATAGGGTCCAACCAGGTTGTTGGTTCCAGACAGCTACTGGGCTTGATCTTCACACCTGCATTGATTCCAGGTGAATAATTCCTTCTCCTCAGAAGCCCTGAGCTCAGACTCTGTGCAGCTACATCCTACAAATGCCACTAGTAATTAGCATAAGAGGAGACCAGCATGGCTTTCTACAACAACTCACATTTTTAGCCCTGGCAAAGTCTAATTAGCCAAACAAGGCCATGACTTCTTGCCCACATCCTGTTTGCTTCACCTGTAGACTATGAGGATGCTCACCCAGGACAAGTTAGGTGTGCCATGTAAGCCCAGGAGCACAGCACACAACATGCTCTCCACTCTCGTTAGAGAAAGTATCAACTTCTGCCGAACTTCCAAGAACGAGTGCAAGTGTGTATGGCTTCAGACAGGTACAGAGTTTGGCTGAACTAAGCTGAGGTTTTAAGAACCAAGTGGATACCAACCATGCACAGACAAAGCTGAAATTTAGCTAAAAGCAAGCACTAGCCACCAATCTTAATCTGCAATAATACAAATAAATCTTAGATTCTCTTAACAGAGCACTAAAATGCAAACACCAATTAACACATTACCTTGCTAGCTATCTGAAAATAAACCAATTAAAATGTTTCTGAAAATTAGGAGAACATGGGTTATCAATATTTTCGTGGAAGACATTAAGCACAATTTTAGCACGTAAGGTTCAACCTTAACTTCCTGAGAAGAAATCATAGAGCTGCCAGCTCATACTTTGATCCTCAAAGAACCTTTAAAAAAACCACCAAAACAAACCAAACAGAAAACCCCCAAACCAACCAAACAAAAAAACCAAACAAAACCCCCAAACCCCCAACAACACAGTCCTGACTAAAACAGCATAAAAAACAGAGAAAGGAAGATGCTGTATAACTTCCCTGAGCAGAAATGATTTCTTCTAGATCAATCTCCCAGTACTTCCCAACCACTCAGCCTAGGAAAGCTTGCACAGCTCAGGTCTCTTCCCAGAAGCACACACTGCGGTCCTACAGTGGGGACCTTTATTTTGTTTGCCAGGTACGTGTAGTGAGGGAATTTGAGGAGGGGACAGCTTCTTGCCTTCATCATACTGTGAATTTGTAACTTGCAAACCTTTATTCTCACCAAGTACACAAATAAATAATTCTTTCCTTACCATGTTCCAATATACAGTTAACAGAATGCAGTCAAGACAAACACTTCGAACTCTATAGATTTCTAAAGTCAGAGCCGCAATGAACATTAAGCTACACAGGAAAAGCAAATACATATAATGAATAATATATAGTGTGTGTACATCCTGTGTACAGAATTCCTAATTGTTTGTGGTGGTCTAAGTACTTCTCTGGCTTGAAATTCAATTGACCACACTACTCACAACCACACAGGTTATGCAGATGATGCAACTAAGTACAAATATATTTCCTCAACACTATTTACAACTCCATCATTTTTAAAGAACAGTAGTTTAGGAAAAAAGTTGCTTTTTTCCACATATGTTTGCTGCTAAAAGCAGAGTGCCTTATCAAATGTACAATCCCTTGAGAATTGAATAACACTTTTTTTTTCTTTCCTTAAGAAAAAAAAAATCAAATACAACTTTTAAAAATCAGAACACTGGTTTTTCATGCCCAGTGCTCTACAGCTTGCCAAGACACAGAATATTACAGAGGTAGAGAAAAAAGGTGTTCCCTACAGGATTATAAAGCACTGGCCTTTAAATAAGCCACTGCCTAAATAGACACCACGATAAGTGAAGCACGGCAGTACTTCTACCTGATTCAGAGTAGGTGAGCAACAGAAGAAGAAAATTACCTGTGCTGAAAATACTCAAACAGTTCCATAGCAATAGTAAGAACAAGTGTTCAAGAGCTGTTCAGGGGGCTTAAGGCACCACTAGCAAGGAATGCCTTGCATTCTTAGCAGAAAACTATTAATGAGAAGTGCAGCTGTGGGTGGGAGGGAAGAACAGAACATAAAAATCAGATAGTGTAGATATGTATCGGATAGCATATATATATATCAGATAGTGTATATAAACTAGGGAGAGTCACCCGGCAGGCCCAGATCGCTGCTCAGGTCGGGCTGGGTATCGGTTGGTGGGTGGTGAGCAGTTGTATCTTCTCCCCTTGTTATTTCCCTTATCATTATTATTATTGGTGGTAGCAGTAGTGGTTTGTACTATCCCTTAGTTACTGGACTGCTGTTATCTCAGCCTGTGGGAGTTACATTCCTCTGATTTTCCTTCCCATCCCTCCGGGAGCAGGAGAAAAAAGGGAGGGAGGGAGCAAGCGGCTGCGTGGTTCTGAGTTACCCGCTGGGCTTAAACCACGACATGTAATAATAATGAGAAACATGTATATCATTTCTACACCTAATCATATAGCCTATATGTTACGTATGGTTTGGACGTAATTTTAGACAGGATTTTCTATGAATTACCAAACCAGTAGTCAAAGTCTGACTCCATTCAAAACATGACTGAAGCTGTGTTACTGACATGTAACATATCCACGCTAAAGCAAACCGCATCAGACTTGAAACAAATAAAGCCTACGGTGATCATCCTTTAGACACCAGAAACTACTGCAGCTACTTGACATGGCTTCAGGGGTCACATTCACATTCTGAATTAAGCTCCCAAGAGATATTCTGCACAAGTAACAGCTACACAAAAGTCTTCCAGATGGTGCAATTAGTCTTGATGGGTATGTGGCAGGAGACAGGTGCCTCTAGGGAAAAAACTGAACTAAAAGCAACCCAAGTGAAATTGTGCACACACAAAAAGATGCATCAAGCTGACATTCTCTTGGAAAACCTCTGCTGAACACCACAAGCACATGCCTAGGGTCCCCAAAAAAGTAACAGCACAATTTTGCTGTTTTGAGTTACAGGCTGAGTATCTTGCAAACTACATCATGCTCAGGGGACCACATACCAAAAAAAGTAGGAAAGGTAAACAATTCTACAATGCAGTTTTGCAAAAGATTTTATTTTTCTTTTTTAATTACAAGGGGGGAGGGTGCATGTACTCTAGATATTATCCATGTGACAGAACAACCCGTTTGAAAACTAGGAAATTCACAGTTTTAAGTACAGAACAGCGTTCACAGAAAAATTCATCCTGCAGCACAAGCGAGAAGCGCCTAGCTCTGAACATGCGCAGTATGACACTGTATAGGCACAAGAGACTCACACCACCCACTCAAGCAATGACACTGGCTAATAGCTAATGTGCTGCAAATTACACCTCCTACTACCAGGGTCCGTCTGCTGCAGAGAATAAATCAAGCCAACATGAGCATTTTGATGCTTTGTGTATTTCTCCACGTGCAGCCATTTGAGTAGACTTTGCAGCTGAAATATCAACCTCCAATAAATGTCAGGTTTAAGTCCATCAGTAATTTACATGTCCATTACATTACTGCAAGCACCATTTGTATTTTTGAGTAAGCTTATTTAAATCCTGCAAAGATCTTATATTATTTGCATGAGATAAAAAACAGCTAGTGTTCTTAGCAGGTTGGTTTTGTTTTTTTTTTTCATTAAATTAAACTCTGGAAGTAAACTATAGAGAAGAAATACAGCAAATACAACAGTTACTGTAAGGAAGAGATGGACAGGGGGAAATCTCATGGGTGTTAAAACAGCAAAGCACAAGCAACTGTGAAGTCAACTGACTCTGCAAGTAGGTGTAGCAGAAGAGAGCATGCTTATGGATGGTAGTGCTTGTTGAGATGTAACCACTAAGAATGCAGAACAAATTTCCCATAAAATGGACATTCTAAGATATTTTGGAAGGGTCAAAAAGGGGTTGTTAAATGTTTAGTCAAGTGTTTTTAGTACTTCCCAAATGTCCTGCTCATGACAGAAGCAAAGAGCTGTGAGATTTACAGCTCTTTCATCAGTTATCACGGCAGGCCAGTGGGAGCCCCTCTACCATTGCCCATGTGCATCCTCTAGCCACTGGCCTGGTGGTAGGGGCTGAAGTGAATAGATCACTGTCCTCCTCACATTCTCTGGTGATTTTGCCCTTCTTTCCATACATTTTATTGAAAGTGTCCCACTGACAAAAATCCATCAT